TATATGCACAGTAACTCATGATGTATAGGTACTAACCCATGGTATATGCACAGTAACTCATGATGTATAGGTACTAACCCATGGTATATGCACAGTAACTCATGATGTATAGGTACTAACCCATGGTATATGCACAGTAACTCATGATGTATAGGTACTAACCCATGGTATATGCACAGTAACTCATGATGTATAGGTACTAACCCATGGTATATGCACAGTAACTCATGATGTATAGGGACTAACCCATGGTATATGCACAGTAACTCATGATGCATAGGTACTAACCCATGGTATATGCACAGTAACTCATGATGTATAGGTACTAACCCCATGGTATATGCACAGTAACTCATGATGTATAGGTACTAACCCATGGTATATGCACAGTAACTCATGATGTATAGGTACTAACCCCATGGTATATGCACAGTAACTCATGATGTATAGGTACTAACCCCATGATATATGCACAGTAACTCATGATGTATAGGTACTAACCCATGGTATATGCACAGTAACTCATGATGTATAGGTACTAACCCCATGGTATATGCACAGTAACTCATGATGTATTATTATATAATATTATGAGGTTTTTACGAAGATACCTCAATATGCACGAAGACAGTACAGTGGCAGTATCGACCAACGCGCAGTGGAGGTCGATGCGACAGCGTACTGTCGAATGCATACTTTGAGGTATCTTGGTAATAACCTTATTATTATACTTCTTTTCCTACCAAGGATACATCATGATAATGCCAAAATCTAAAAAGTTTAGAACAGAATCAGCGAACTTCTTTGTATGGAGTCCGGTTAAATTCTGGTGGCAGCCATGTTTGTTGTTATTATTAGAGGACACTTACGCGCATAATAATTCCATATTTGGAATTCACATTTCCTAATATGGTAGGATGAAAATACCCCGTAAAATACCGCAAAATTATGGCACGCTGTAACCTATGGCGTTACGGTGACAGATGTATAATAATATATAATACACTCCTGCAGGTATTCAAACTAAAATTACCTTTTGTAAAAAAGTGAACCAAAATTCTAATTAAAATTTGATTTACAAACTGAGACCTTTCAAGCTAGACATTTTTCTCTCAAGATGTAAACCCTAGTAAAATTGTAGTTTGGTTGGAATATCATTGCTCAACTAAAGCCATAATAATCACACATAATCAGACGGCACATCCATACCTGATCCTCTGACTACTATCAATTTACCTGGCAAATTTTAGTAGCACTGCACAGTTTTAGGTATTTTTCTGAATTTGTTTTGTTTAATTTGGGAAAAATGGACATACATGTAATTTCCCATTATCTACAGACTCTGGTATACAAAGAATGAAATATTTTATTTCACTATACAGTAATGGACTACATGTATCATTGTAAACTACATTGGGTGTACTTGCAATCACTTACCAATGAAAATAACATGCATTGAATGCAATAGTAGATACATGGAATACAGAATAATACAGACCCTCGCACTTGTTTACATTTTGCGTGCATATACGCAACTAGTCTTTCGCATCCAAAGATATAGGTGTCGTTAATTAAGTATACATTAATGTGTCTAGGTTTATAAGACAACATATGGGGAATGTTGTCACAGCAGAGTAAGTGATGATCGGTGAGGAACATTTCTTATCAGACAATCGTATACCGGTTGGCAAAAATGTAAACACGATGCGAGGGCCTATACTGAAGGATGATTTGAGGAGAATGGGAACGGTGATCTGTTGTGGATGCTGAGGAGAAAGCAGTATCAGCTGTTCATTCATTCATTCTTTCATTCATTCATTCATCCAAGTTTATAGATATGTTTTTTTGTAGTCTTAGACATATGAAGTAGTATGTGCCATATATTAGGATATCTGGGTCAGAAGTTGCTTGTAAATAACCAAAAATTATTTCCATAGATTCAGTTTTAATTGAAGTTTCAGCATTTGAGTGTCATGACTACACGTCAGATTGAAATGCAACCTTCAGCATTACCCGTAAGATTGGTTCATGATTAACTCAAACTTTTTTGTCTTTTCCTGCACCTGTGCCTATAAAAAACTGATTTCATTCCAAGCTTTAAATAATTTAGCAAATAATATAACATTAGGTCTGGTAATTATATGCACAATGCTGGGTGGAAACTGACATGCTTAATCTACTGTCTAACTGCTTCACTACGAAATGAATGGTTTTAAACTCAGGTTTGATAGAAATGCATGAAAACACTTTTATACATGCAAGTAAGGCCCGAAAAATAAGTTCTGTTCCTCACTCTGTACTGCATCAGATGGAAACAAGTCATACATTTTGTTCAAAATAACAAAGATGTGAGAATTTCATTTCATTATTGAGTTCCTGAAAAGTAATTGATTCTTTAATATATACCATTATGTAATTAAAAATGGTAGAATTTTTTGTATCACATAAAATGAAGTCAATAAACTGACATAGTTTGTTATTTTTAAAGAGCTAATTAAAACAAGCAGCCTATCGGCTGAGATAGCTCCGCTGTTAGCAATGCACATTTCAATTAAAGAACTGAAGACATCATTAGAAAATGAACAATATGTATAGTATCAAAGCAATCGGACTTACAGTTTTTAACAAGAAGTTGAAAATATCACTTTTTACCAAAAATTACAAAAATATTCACCAAAATTAGAGAATTGAAGATATCATCACAAAATGAACAAATCTGAGAGAGGTCCACATGTAGTACCTATATATGTAATATCAAAGCAATTGAACGATTGGTTTTTAACAAGAAGTCGAAAATATCACTTTTTACCAAAAATGACAAAAATATTCACCAAAATTAGAGAATTGAAGATATCATCACAAAATGAACAAATCTGAGAAAGGTCTACATGTAGTATCTATATATGTAATATCAAAGCAATTGAACTATTGGTTTTTAACAAGAAGTCGAAAATATCACTTTTTACCAAAAATTACAAAAATATTCACCAAAATTAGAGAATTGAAGATATCATCACAAAATGAACAAATCTGAGAAAGGTCTACATGTAGTATCTATATATGTAATATCAAAGCAATTGAACTATTGGTTTTT